ACTCGTCCAATAATCAAATCCAACTCTTCTGATTTCGGCCGCACAGCTTTCTGAATGGATACGGTTTCCAATTTCATGGGATACGCATGACCCATATCTGATCCAGTGTACCTTCATTTTTGTAAAATCATAATTCTGATGGAGGGACATAATTGAAGGATTCTCTGGCCAATATATCCCATATTCTTCTGGATTCCCTTGATCGTTGCCTCTGAATATAGCCATTGATGCTGGTAAAAAAAAAAAAGAATATAGCCATTGATAAGAGGAAAGAGATCCTTTCCGCGACGGTGTCAAACCCTTTTCTCTTCTCCTAGCTACAAGTAGGCCATGAAACAGCCGATAACGTTGTAGCCTAATGACAGTAAAAGTTTTCCTGTAAGTGAAAAAGTTGCGATTTTGATGCCACTTGTAACCTCTGCCTTTTTTTTTTTTGGAAAAAAAAGGAGCACAAATCATAAAAATATGTGAAGCAGAGGAGTCCCTTATGAAGAAGAATTTAGGATGTCTGTTTTATTTGACCATTATCATATAAAGGGAAAAGTCAAAAGCTCAGTGTCCCTAGGAAATTAAAAAACCGAAAGGCCGAGGAGTCCAGTGCGTCTTCCCGAGGCAGGCCCCTGCATCCCGTTTCCTTAATTAATTCCCTTCCTCCGTTTCGTCAGATTAGTAGAGCTATGCTCGAGTCTCCAAATAATTATATGTGCCTGTCAATTATCATATCTCTTCAGAACCACAAGGCATCTCTCTCGTCAAATATTTTTCCTGTTTTCTTTTTGCGGAATCAGTAGCTCCATATGCATTGTTCAGTCTAACCTTTTCTTGTAGGGTAAAATGTTCAATCCATGTTTTTGAGGAGCATCTATTATTTCCGCTGACTCGGGACACATTCTTGAATCTGGTCAGGCCCATTAAATGAAGCTTCGGGATATAAAGTAGTAAATGTCACGCGTAAGCCCAACAAAAAATTTTAGCTTATAACTTCATTGTCCAGAGGAAAAATGGACGTGGCTGCCTCACTCAATTGTATGTTAATCAAGGCCGAGCAAATCAAAGTTTGGAGTGGAACCTGGTCTACTTCTAATTACAATGATGACTATTATAATGTTGTTCGCAGCCGTAGAATCTATAATATTCGAATACAAGTACAATTTTAGTGATCAGTAAAATTTTCAATTAATAATTATTTTTAAAGAAAGTAAAAAAATAAAATTCAATCTAAACAGTTTAGAGTGTATACTAGCAATAGCAATAACCAATATTGTCAAACTCACAAGTTTAAACAAACTCATGAGAATGATATAAACTCGGATCGTGAACTTGTAAGTTCACTTTTATTAATAAACTGGTATTAAAAGTATATAATCAAATAATTAATATATAAAAAATAAGGACAATTTCATTTAAATATATTTTAAATTTAAATAATTGAAATTATATCCATCAATGTTCATAATTTATCACATTCAATCAACAAATTTCTATAAAATTTATATATAAAGTCACTAAACATAATCAAATCCAAAAACTTAGCACGTGTTTAAGAGCAAGTTAACACGATTTTGTAAGTTTAAAACGTAAAAACGATAAACTCGGTAAATGAACTATTAAGTTTAATCAAATTTACAGTTATCACGAATTTAAGAGTGAATTGATATGATTTTGTTAACTAGAAATGTAAAAACGTTAAATTCGAAGATTCAACTCACGAGTTTGATAATAGTAACAATAGCTAGCAAGTTGCTAGGACCAATGACCACGTAGACTTGTGTGCATGCACGTAGACCCTACAAATATGGTAACTATTCACTTGTAATTAGAATTTGATCATTTATTTCGTTCATCTATTGTCACTAAAATAGCCGGCAAAAAAAAAAAATCTATTGTCACTAAAATAACTCCTTCTTCTGGTTCCAATCCTCTCTCTCCCCCCACCCCAAAACGATGTTTGGAGATGAGTTGTAAAAGATTTTGTCATCTGTAATGAAGTTGTGACAGCTTCCTGGTCTGGTGTCTGGTTTCGTATTTCGAAATTGTTATAATAAAGCAAAATTTTAAAATTAATATGCGAATTATTAAAACATGCTAATTGTGAAGACATTGTATCTATATATTATAAATCAAGTGATATAATTAATGTTATTTTTTTTCCTAATTCAAGCCTATCAACATATTTGATTTAGCCTGGTTTCGAAGTAAAACATCAGATAAAATAAATTGATATCGCATGAAATACACAAACATTGTGCATTAACACACACACACACACACACGCTGTGAAGAAATTTTTTATTATACTCGTTCTTCGACGTATTTCTTTGATATCTAGTGGTGCTGCTATATACATATATTATCAGCATCCAATTAGTTTAGTTAATATACTATCATAGATGTTGATATATTATATTTAATTTATTACATCGGATTTTTTAAAATTATCTACAAAGGTGTATTTGCTGTGATTTAATGATTAAAATAATTTAATTTTTGGCCAACCAAAATAGTTTATCTATTGATTGCTATGATATATTGATCTCGTATATAGGATATGTGATAAAAGAGGGCTTCTTCTTCTTTTTTTTGGCCACGTGATAAAATAGGGTTGATATCTATAATTCTAGAACATATCAAGATAAGTAGATTTTTCCTATATTACTTATTTACATACAGTCTTTATTATTAATTTGGTTAAGTTCATTTTAAATTTAAAACTTATCCATTTGACAAAATACATTAATATTTATACATTTTTGAGTCCGCAAATCCTCGCTTTATATTATTTGGCCAGAGTATTTATATCAAATTAAAAACGTTCCATTTATGCTTAGGTGTAAATAATTGATAGCTATCATCCTTTTTCTGGATACAAAGAAGATTTGGAATCCTCATTAATGATCGATGAAAATAGTTAACAATAATAATATTTATAACAGTACAATAAAATTCACACAATTGATAGGCATTGCTTCTATTTATAGTTATTTAGAGTAATTTAACCGAGAGTTTCCTGGCACGCCCGTAATGACACTTGAATAAATTTGATCTCGACTAACAAGTACTGGCTTGCAAATTTTAAAAGAAGAAAAAGAAAAGAAAAGAGTAATCTGTGACATAAAGGGTTATGGTTTGAATCTCTACATCCTCAAAATTTTCCCTAGAATGACTTTTAGTGAGATGCATCATGCTTCAATATCGATAAATACTTGTAAAGTACTCATTTTACTTGGGAATCTGATTCTAAACTCATGTTGGCTGTTATATTTATATCTTTTTAAAATTAATTTATCTAACTAATAAGTTTTTTTTTAACCAGCATCTAACTTATAGATAGTTTAATGTTATGCAGAAATATGTTATATCTGTTATGATTAAATAATATATATCACTTAGTTAAATAGCTCTTAATTAAATAATGGGGAGAGTACTTAAATGCTTATCGGGTTTCCTCGGTGGATTATAGATATGCACATGCCCCATTAAATTTATTATCCGTTACCAAGACTGAATAAGAAACTTGTTACCCCAAAAAAAAAAAAAAAAAGACTGAATAATTAAGAAACTTCGGAAAACTAAATACAGAGGGTCTTCCTCGTGGCTGCGCTGTTTTGCTCTCACGTTCCGAGACTGCTGGGCAGCAGAACGGTTGTTCCCTTCGGCCCTCACCGCCCATAAACTTCCTCCACCCCCTGCATCGCCTGAAGACAGAAGCCGACCGGTGAGAATAATCCCAAACCTTCAATATTAAATCTTCCTCCTTCCCTTCTACTATATATCTCTCTCTCTTTTTTTATTTCCAAGAACAAGTATTATCTCAGCAGTTCATTGCCTGTTTGATTGTCTGTTGAAAAGGTGATCTCTTAGTTTCGATACTCTGTTTTTCCTGAACGCTGACCGCCTCGTTGATCCCTCGTTAGCTTTTCAAAGCATTTATTGTGCTTCAATTTATATTTCCACTGCTTCTTTCCTTGAGGCCCAAGCTTCGTCTGGCAGGCTTCCTTCATCACTTTTTTTTTTTCTTTTTTTAATTCCACACCTTCTTTCCTTTGAGGAAAAATGGCAAAAATCCGTGTGACAAATTTCATTGAAGAGAAGCATTTGACAAATTTTTGCAAATTTTAACGGGCTTTTCCCAGTTTTGCCTACTTTATCCATTGTTTTTAATTAAATATTGATTTACAAATTTGTCTCTATATTCCCAAATAGTTGATGAAAGCTTTGGCATCCCAAAATTGTCGACCTCCTTCTACTATTGTCGTTCCTTTTATTTTGTAGTGACTGCTACTCTGGGCTATTGAGAATGGAGCACTGCTTCAACGGTACGACCCAGATTCACTGATTTTGTTTCTGTGAAGCTTATCTCGCATGTTAACGTTACTTTATTTTTTAAATTGAATATTATTTAAAAATAAAATTATTTAATAATATAACAAACTGAGTCAACCACTGATATTTATAGTTTTCATTTTTTATTTCTGTGATCGCTCTTGCTGACCGTTTGCTGATATTTTTCAAACTCGAAACTTGACTGTGGCTGAACAAATTGAGGGCGTTTGATCATTTAACTCATTTATTAAACCTAATTGATCATTTAATCTCTTCATCCAACAAAAAGATTTCGTTACCTTCAATTTCGTCTGCTCTCCTTTATCTAAGCTAGCAGACATTTCAATTTCAAGTTTTTTCTTAATTTTCATTGCCTTTTTGTCTTGATTTCCGTGAGCTTTCCGTTTTCAAGAGTCTCTCTAATTGTAACTCTAGAAGATTCATGGCATAAGAGGAAAGACGGGACAGGTTTTTGACACAGAGAAAGGGTTGAAATTATTTTCTGCTTGCGACTCTTCAAATCTCTTTTAAAGGTTCGGTAGATTTTTTTGGTTCGATTTTGATTTGAAGTTTTAGTTTTTGCTGGCTCTGAAAAATCTGACAAAAAAATTCAAATTGGGTTCATGATGAGTTTTTCTTTCAGAGCTGAAGGTTTGCTCTCATTCTTCAAACGAAGAATGTCGTCCCTAAACGTCTATGAGAGAAGAAGAAAGATGGACCTAAGTGACAATCAATGGCTCCCAACCACCCCGACAAAGTCCACTCCCTTGTCCCATATCTGTGATGAATCCATAGTCATTTCGACTTCACTGGGCGGAGATAATGAAATTGCAGCTAAAAGGTCTACTTTTGCAGACTCGGTGCCTGATCAGGAATCAGCAGCTATTAACAAAATGGCTCCGTCATCCCAAAGTAAATGATGCTAATAGGTTCGAGCAACTTGCAATGTAGCATTTTTTGTTTTTCTGAGCAGTTTATGTCTGAATACAGGTTGCGATCTTGATGATAAATTTGTTCCAAGCTTTGGCGTCTCAACCCCTGGAAAGCCGATTCCCCTGGGACCCAATTCTCATGTTTCTGTTGAGTCATCAGTCTTCGCACCTCCACGGGAAGGTGACCTTGAAACTGTGACTGAAAGGGCTGATACGGCAGACCCAACCCATGACCAAGAATCAAAAACCACAGTTATTGACAAAGGTACTTCAGTCCAAATAAGACAGTGAATACACTAATTTACTCTTGTTAAGGGCATTTTTATAAATACTTGTCTTCAGATGCAGGTCATGATATTACTGCCAAACTTACTGAATCTACGCCCATCCTTGGCACCTCTACCCCTGCTACAAAAGATAGGAAAAGAAAGGCCAATCAACAAAATAATGTTGCAACACTACAGAAGAAGAAGAAGAAGGTGTATTGGCCTAAAGTGCAAGGCCAAACGAAACGGAAGACAACACCTAAAGTGCCCCATGAAAGCAAGACTAAGGGAAGGCGTGTTTCTAAGGTGAATGGTGACAATGGTAAATATAAAAGGACTTCGAAATCAAAGTCAGCGAAGAAATCAAAAGAGAGTGCTTCAAAAGTGGATGAGGGCAGATTTGACATGTTCTACTGTGAAGCGCAGTATAATATAGAGAAGCATGAAGTTCAAAATGAATGGTTTTCTACACTAAGAGAGCATATCATGTCAGAAAAGACTCTCTCACGTTCCAAAAGAAAACCATCTAAGCGTTCTTTGACATTTGAACTGGAAGAAAATTTTGAAGATCCTATACATATGCAGAATGAGCTTGATGAATTGGGTTTTAAAGGTGATTCTTTACACATATTGAAGAAGAAAATACCTCAAAAGAGAATGAATCTGAATTGTCCTTTACTTGTTAGAATTAGGAGAATGAAATTCAATTTTCCTACGCAAAAGCGATCAGAAAGTCAAAAGAGAAAAAGGATCCGGGAATTGAAATTACCATTTCAGTACATCAAAAAGCGAAAGAGATCAAATAATCGTAGGAGAAAAATCAACTTATGTGGCATTGTAATTTGCAATCAAATTTCTTTGCCCAATCAAGGAGTTGATGAAGGAAAAACAGAAAACTTGGGATTGGAAGGAGATAAATTTGAGTGGAAGACAAAAGGGAAGAGGGCCATAGAGAGAAAGAAAGCAAAGTCAACCAACTTTACAATAGACAAAATCCCAAAGCAAGAATTTGGGAATTGGGAAACAAGAGAGGGAAGTAAGGCCCTATGTACTATATGCAACTTTGTGAAGTGTCCTTTAGATGAAGACAATGAGAGCGAGAATGAAGTGAGAGATGAAAGGAAAGGAAAAGCAAGAAGAACAAGAAAAAGTGTGTCAAGTAAGGAAATGAAGGTTCTCATCAAGAAATTCCAATCTTTGAGCATCAATTATGGGAATAAAGAAAAGAAAGGAGCTTCTTACAAGAATCAAGAGAGAAGGTTAATTTCTTATAAAGGATCAAGAGAAGGTTGGCCAATAAAAGTCAATGTGAACAATACTGAGTTGGTTTCTTACAAAATCAAGAAGGCGAGTTAGTTCCTTATAAAGGAATGAAAGAAAGTCAACGAATAAAAATCAAAGTCAATCTTGATTCAGAAACTTTAAAAGAATGGAATCTGCTTATGGATGGAAAATCACATGCTGAAAATGATGATAAGAAAGAATATTGGGAGCAAGAAAGGTCAATTTATTTGGGAAGAGTTGATGCTTTTATTGCTCGCATGCATAACTTTCTTGGTAAGGATTATACTCTTCTGTTAATATTATCATGAATATTTTATGGTATTAAGTATATTAACAGTAAAATTATAAACTTTTCAGGTAATAGATCTTTCTCGTCATGGAAAGGTTCTGTTTTAGATTCTGTCATTGGAGTATTCTTAACGCAAAATGTCTCAGATCATTTATCAAGGTCAAGTTTAACGGCTTAAATCTATTTGATACTTTTAGTGTATTAAATATTTATTCACTAGGTTTCAACTCTTATTGTCAACAGCTCTGCCTACATGTCTCTTGCATCTACCTTTCCAATCAAAACTTCTGAAGAAAGAAAAGGCAATTTACCTCTATTGAAACTTGAAAATTCCTCATCAGAAGCTAGTTTAAATTTGGGGAATAAAAGACTATACTCTCCGGGTATGGTTTTTGGGAAGAAAAAACCCACTTCTACGAGGAAAAAAGGTGATCAAGCAGAGCAAGAGAGAAAGAAGAAGGAAGAAGAACAAGCTGAGGAACAAGACAAGCAATATTGGGAATCATTGAGAAGAAGATATATACAAAACTGCACTCCACGAAGCGGTGATCATGCTGACTCAGTTGATTGGGAAGCAGTGAGATGTGCAGACGTCAATAAAGTTGCTAAAGCTATTGAAGGTCGTGGTCAACACAACATTATTGCTCAAAGAATACAGGTTCAGTATAATTTTGTTTTATCTAACAATCAAACTCAATAATGATTCTGAACTTCTCCTTTGAATATATGCAGGCTTTACTCAACAAGTTGGTAGAAATGCATGGGAGTATTGATCTTGAATGGTTAAGATATGCTCCACCCTACGAAGTAAAGTAAGTATTCTGTATGATGACGTTATTATCAACGAAACATATTTTACAAAATGACAGGGACAATAAACTCTTTATGTCACCTTTCAGGGAGTATCTTCTAAAAGTATATGGTTTGGGATTGAAAAGTGTGGAATGCATAAGACTTTTAGCACTTAAGCAAATTGCTTTCCCGGTAAGCATGTAAAAATAATGACTTTTTAAGATGAGAAGTTGGTGAGATTGTACTGATGGATTTTATATTTAAAATGCTGGTTTAATTAAGGTGGATGTAAATGTTGGAAGAATAGCAGTGCGATTGGGATGGGTTCCCCTTGAACCATTACCTGGCTCAATTCAATTCCATCTGTTAGATCAGTATGTGATCAACTGGTTTAGATTGTTGAATGTTTTGTAATAAATTAAGCTTATCATTATTGAAGGAATTTATCTATATTTGTTTCCTCTTTTTTTTATAGGTATCCCATAATTGACATGGTACAACAATATCTTTGGCCACGATTATGTACCCTTGACCAGCCGACATTGTAATTATCGTCTATTGTTCCTTAATGAATAGTTATGAACTCATCTTAAAGTACACATTTTAGATAATTGTTTCCTCTCTTCCTCCTTTTTTTAACTCTATACAGGTATCAGTTACATTATCATCTCATCACATTTGGAAAGGTATTTGTCATTCCTTGTGGCTTCAATCACTCATTAATTATTCATTTTTCTGGAGAGAAAGAAAATTTAACTCATAATAACATCTTTTTAGGTATTTTGCACCAAGAAACAACCAAACTGCAAAGCTTGTCCAATGAGAGGAGAATGTAAACATTTTGCAAGTGCTTCTGCAAGGTATATACTGTATTGGATCCTTCCTGTATTTAAATTTGGAGGAGAAAAACTGATATGATCCAAACTGAATGTGTTTAGAATAAAACACTTGACGCGGTAAATAATCCAAATACTAACACACTCAGTTTGCTCCTAAACTTGTGCTCAGTAAAATCAGATTTATTCAACTCCCATGTTACTCGTTAATTGAGAGTCGAAATATAATATGCAATTCAGTATCTGTTTTTGCCGTATATATGTGCAGTCCAACGTTTGCCCTTCCTGGAAACGATGCCGAAGGAAGGCCAAATAATAGTTCAGAGAGATCCGATGTTGCTGCTAAACATTTGGAAGGTTTCAGTGATCCGTTAATTGTTTCTAATGTGAAAGACACATCAACCACCAACACAAAGGAGTGTGAACCCATTGTTGATTACCCTGCCTCACCCATTGCTGAAAATACCCAGGCTGAAATAGTAGATATAGAGGACCTTTGCAAGGGTGATGATGACCCTGAGGAATTTATCACAATAAAGCTCAATGAAGAGCGTTTGAATTACTTTGAACGAAGTGAGATGGAGAATTCAAATGTTGTGGTTGCTTATAATCCAAACAGGGGAAAATCTATGCCAAAGATGAAAAGTGTCAGTCGTTTAAGGACTGAGCGTATGGTGTAAGTTATTGACTCCCCTCTACTCTCATGCCTATTTATTATTCTCTCTCGTCTATAATCCAAACGAATGATGCCAGGGTATGTTGTTTAATGGAGTATCTGAATCAGTAGGGTTACGATTTGTAATTAATGCATTACTTAATTTTTGAGGCTCTTATAAATACCCTAGTCTTCTAATTCTGCTCTTATGTGCTCCGTTTTCCTGAAGTTATGTGCTTCCTGATACGCATCCTCTCTTAGCTGAGGTAGGTATGCCTCTTTTTTTTTTTTTAAGAGCAAAAGAAAAGTTTGTCGTATGAAGCATCTCTGTTTAATCTTTATTTTGATCTGCAGTTCCCAGTGAGAGAAATTGATGATCCTTCAAACTATCTTCTTGTTATGTGGACACCAGGTGGAGTATTGTGAAAAGAAATCATATATACGTACAGTAGTAATTTAAAGAAGAATTGAACGCATGTGTCTTTTGCCACCCAATTGATTTGTACAAGTTTATTTCATTGGTTTTGGGTAAAAATTAGGAGAATTAAAAGAACCATGTGAGGCAACAACTCAGAACCAGTGCAGTTGCTCCAACAACAACTGCTTCTTTTGCAATAATATCAAGGAAGCGAACAACCAGACAGTACCAGGAACTATTTTGGTAAGTTCGATGCCGTATGGTTGGAACTCTAATTTCGAAAACAAGATGTTTGATAACAGTCCATTTTAACCCTGCAGGTACCTTGTCGGACTGCAACGAACGGGAGATTTCCACTGAATGGAACTTACTTTCAAGTTAACGAGGTAGATCATCTAAATTGGCCTGATTACATCCACGTCATGCTTCAATATGATTAATTTGTGATATGTTTTGCAGGTATTTGCTGATGCCGCTTCCAGCCAACACCCAATCGATGTTCCTACGAAGTGGCTCTGGAATCTTCCAACTCGAATTGCATATTTCGGGACTTCAACCTCCACAATATTCAGAGGTACGGATGGAACCGAACATAATATATAGATTTGACTGTGTAGTTATTATAAATGGTACCGGCCAAAGATTTGATACATCTTTTGATATTATATGAAATCAAAACAGGTTTGCCCTTGGAAGAAATTCAAGAATGTTTTTGGAGAGGTAAGATGGATGGAAACAATGTTGTTGAGTTGTGGTACTTTAGAAAATGAATGGGTTAAAATGGAATGTGACAGCGGTGGGATTTTGCATTTGCTAGGGTATGTTTGTGTGAGAGCAACTGATCGGAAAACAGGAGCTCCCAGGCCATTACCAGACAGATTTCACTGCAAAACAGCAGACCAGCAAATAATGAAGAAGAAGAAAAAGCAGAGAAATAATGAAGATTTGAAAGGTAATGAATCTGTAAATGGGTGATTAATTAGCGCTATGGGCGCATGTGTTGTGAATCAAGCATCATGCTGTCTCTGATCTTGAGTTCAGGTCTTTCATTTAACTCTGGGGCTATGGGGTTTCGGACTATGCTAGGCCCTTCCATGGACTAAAAGGGTATTCTTGTTTGTATTTAGAATATGTTTTATTTAATCTCTCTCTCTCTCTCTCTCTCTCTCTCTCTCTCTCTCTCTCTCTCTCCCACTTAGTTAAGTAACTCTCAGACATTCAAAGATTTTGCTGAAACAAGCAGATCGCGTAGGATTTATGGTCATTTTTTAATAAGAGGAAACATTTATGTCAATATATTGCAATGGCATTTACCACAATTCATTGGTATCAAATTTAAATTGTTTGGATAAAATATACAATTTAGATATGATTTTTTGTTAACATATTTTAAATATATAGTTATTGTAATACACACCCATAAAATTCAAAATAAATATAAATTTTAACTATCATCTTTAATTTAAGAAAATGAAATTATTATTAAGAAACTGTAAATTAAATCTTCAGATTCATATCAACCGAATTATATTTCGATGATTAGATCTACGTCAAAATAATAAACTAATGATATTAGTGGATTTATTTATGAGGCATAACCTTATCTTCCAAATTGGATAAAACACATAAGATCCATGTTCATTTCCTCACCCAGAAAATTCTGAACGTTTAACCTTAGGTTTTCCTTTGGGGAAAGAAAAAAATGCCTTCCGTGGATATCTTAGTTAACCTGATCATCTAAGGCAGAATTGAGAAATGCAGCAGTAGTGAATATATTACACATGAATAGAACAACTGCAGTTTTGACCAAAAAAAGGAACAACTGCAGTTGGATTCGCTACCCCTTTTAGAAAAAAAAACAAAACTATATTTGGAAATTGGAATATGTTCCCCCGGTCCTTCTAAATTACCCAAAAACTTACTAAATATTGTCACAACGTGCATCATCTTAACATATACGCTATGTCCTTTTGATGCTGGATCTCCTCATTCCACAATTCCACGTTAATCATAAATCATAAGGAGTTGGCCAAAAAAAGAACAAATCACAGAAAGATTGTATAAGGAAACAGCGTTTAACGCTGCAGCTCAGGTGCCTGAGTCGTTTCGTAGAAGCCGCGGTGGGGGTCGACAACGGTCTGTGAGGACCATCCCTGCGTTTTACCGGTTCCATGACGGAGTCTCTGGACCTGTACGGAAACGCCTGGCTCCTCCGTCTCTTGGTCCTCACCACCGGCTCCTCTTCCGTATTCACAACCATCCAACTCTCCTTTACTTCCCTCCTCCCTTCGTCAAGTTTTCCTGATACTACGATTAGCAATTCCAAAACCATTGTTTTCATTTTGCGCGCCTCCCTCCTTCTCTTCTCGCTCTTCCCCTTCCTCTCTGATCTCTGCTTCGATCCTCATTTCCTCGTGATAAACTCCATCGTCACTCACTCCAACTCGAACACTTGCCTTTCCAGCATCTTGGCCCGTCTGATCTCCTCCGTTCCCATCGGAGTGGCTTCCGTTAGGTGAATTGCATTGAAATTCAGCATCATCGGAACAGAACCGCAGATTAAGATCAAAAGGAATGCCGGCAGCAGGGGAGGACTTCGGTATTGGATTATGAGAGGGAGGGAGGGATGAAATGAGACGAAGAATGTTGAAGGAGCACATTTGAGCCTTGGAATAACCATGGCGAGTGTGGTCAGCTGAGGGAGAATTGAGGGTTTGATGGCAAGAATCGAGACACTGACGAGAGGAAGGCATAAGGGTGAGTCCAGAGGTGATTGGAGCCTTCACTCACGTAGCCTCGATCATGCAATGTCGTGCCCACTTTTTGCTAATCTGGACAACGCATCTGCTTCTGAAATTCACAAGTATTTAGTTATTTTTAACATCTTTTAACTTTGCTAAATGCTCTAGCTTCCCCCCCACCCTCAAAACCTTTTCATTCATACACTTCGAAGAGAGAAATGGGGAATCATAATCTACAGGTGAATTTGGATGCTTTGAATGAATAGAAAACACCTGCTGGTGCAGAATGCATATTAAACCGCGTCACCGGGAAGGCCTCTTTTTTCTTTTTCTTTTTTTTTTGGGGGAACCTACGAGTTGGTCAGTTAAATGAAGGCTTTTTTTTTTGTTACCCACCCAGTTTACCGGAGTTTTGTTCCGACTACATCTGGATCCGACTCGCGTCGCACAGCTGGCTATGGTGGGTGAGTCTTCTAACTGAAATTTCTGCATACGCTGAGGTTTAAACTCGAAACCTCATTTAAGCGGTATCAAACCGCTTACTACTTGGACCAACTCTCGTCGGTAAATCAAGGCTATTTTGACGAGGGAGTGAGGACCGAACTTCATGTTGGGTCGTTTAAATGGATGGTAAGAAAGAGGTGATGTTATGCGCATCCCACATTGGGCCTTGGGGGTCTTACTTGTTTGAGGCTATCATGTGAATTAGGCACGCGCTAGAGATTCCATTATTGATGTCCCAAGCAAGCGGACACAAGTTTTGCTGAAAATGGGGAAGGCCATCGCCACCTCTCCCTCGAATATTTGGAAATATGGGTCCTCTGCTGTCTTGTCTATGCAATTAAATTAAATGACACGTCTGCCCTTGTTGGATGACTTCCATTTTGGTCGTCTCTTCCTCTCTCCACAGTCAACGCCATGACGTGGCATGGTTCTTATTTCTCGACTGAAGCCCAAGCCATTATGGGCTTAACACTCTTCCAATAAACACTGTCCGCAGCCGGCCCAACCTAACTCCCAAAGCCTCATGATTTCTCTCCGTTGTTTTCAAGAGATATTTCTGTGGCTTGAAATATATTTTGTTTTCACCCCTCACTTAAAACATTCAGATAATCAAACTTAAATTCTCTGTGAGGGTCTCACAAAGACAGAGATGATCTTCTCTCTCTCTCTCTCTCTCTCTCTTCTCTCTGGCTCCAGATATACGCTCTCTTTATCGACTCTGTTTTAGTGGAACTGTGGAAGGAAAACGATGGAGGATTGGGGGCGGGACAATAGTTAAGTCCAAACTATGGTGTATTATTAGATTTCGCATAGCTTTTTTTTTTTTGAAAAAAAAGAACTTGAAAAGTGTGGTGAATATAAAATTCTTTGAAAAAATTCACATAATTAGGTGTTAAGAGTAAACGTACTCTTAGAAGCTCACCCACAAGAATTAATTTTACTAATTGGGTAAATTAACAAAATTTTTTAGTTAGTTATTTATAATAAATAAGTGTTATCCTTCCTGGAATATTTTGCTAATCATGTATATTAACTAAAACTATAATGTGATGAAACATTTAACATATATAATTACCACAAAGATTATTTGAAAAAGTGAATAAATATAAAAGATAAGTGAATTAAGATTTTATATTGAGAAA